ACGATTATAAGGAAACTAGGCTTTAAGGAAGTGGTACGCCTTCCATCTCATGCGTTGTAGGAAGTTTTGAGTTTTATCAATCAGGCATCTCAGGTATACGTTTATATAGTATAATAGCTGTGCTATTGGGATGTTCTTCGCCGAGTATCCAAGGTTTGTGGGTTCCATATCGATAGGTAGAATGCTCAACAATAAAGGAGCGAAATATAATGGGATTTTGTGATAGAAACTATCGCAAACAAAATCGCACGGATAGAGTGCTCAATGCCACGGCAGAGCGGTATAATTGAAAATAAAATAAACCGCGTGCGTTTGGTCTCGGTGCATTCAGTGCTCCCCCCATGACGATTAAAGAAATTAAGAAAGTACTGTGCCAAATATTCAACGAAAATCAACTGAAATTAAACATTAAAGAAAATAAGAAATCCGTGAACTTCCTTGACATCACGTTTGATTTACGATCCGTCTCCTTTAAGCCATACAAAAAACCTGGAAACATTCCCCAATACATAAACATTCACAGCAACCCTCCCATCCCCTCTATCCCACGCATAATTTCTGGAAACCATCAACCAGCAACTATCAAGAATCTCATCCAAAAAACAATCATTCCACTCAAGCATACACCCATACCAAGAAGCACTAACAAAAAGCGGCTTTGACTACAAATTACAATACAGCCCACAAGCCACACGAAAGTCACAAAACAGAAAGAGAAACATCCCCTGGTACAACACATCATACAACTTCATTATCCACACAGACATCGGACACAAGTTCCTTACTATAATCAACAGGTCCTTTCCAAAAAACCATCCACTCAGCAAAATCTTTAACCGAAACACACTTAAGCTAAGTTACAGTTGCATGCCAAACATCGATACAACAATTTCTACACACAATAAGACCGTTTTAACCAAAAAAGAAACGAAGAAAAACGCCACCACGAACAGAAAATGCAACTGCCGGAAGAAAGAGGAATGCCCACTAAAAGGAGAATGCCAAACCAAAGGGATAGTTTACCAAGCCACAGTCACCAACACACTAACCAAACACAAAGAAATCTACATCTGTCTAATGGAGAACACTTTTAAAACAAGCTACTTGAACCACACCAGCTCATTCCGAAATAAATCAAAACAACACTCCACAGAACTCAGCAAACACATATGGAAACTAAAAGCCTCTAACACACAATACACCATCAACTGGAAAACTGTAAAGAAATCACAACCTTACAAAACCAAACGCTGTAATTTATGCCTCTCGGTACATAGGACAAACATCCAAGAAAATTGAAACAAGACTCACTGAACTCAAGACTGCCATCAAACGACGCGACCCAAAACCACTACCAGCACAACATACCTACGATACCATTCACAAATTTGACTGGACATAAACACAACTTCTTGGACGCGCACAGACAAAACACGCACGAGAATTCAAAGAGGCATGGTACAGCAAAGACAACAACACAATAAACAGACATATTGACATCCCCATCATCTATTTACAACTAAAGACAAAACCAAAACAACAAACTAATAACACAACGAATAAAATAAAACACTCGAATTTCATTAACGCAATCCATACACCCGAAACCATGACAACGCATCTTATACCATCTAATAATATCAACTCAACTACTAACCAACCAAGCAGACGCTCCTAACGCCTACAAAATCTTTACAAATAATAGATTCTTACATTCTGAAGAAGGCTCCAAGCACCGAGTTGAAAGCTTAAAAAAAATTTCCAAATAAAAATTCAGAGAATCGTTAATGTTATCATAATATGCCAGGGTTACCAATTTTTAAATTTATATATATATAATCCATACAATGTGTAACCGTACGTCCTGTGTCCCAAGTGCAGGAGTCACCATTTTAACATGGTGATAGCCGGGAGGGCACATTTTATATACGCAATGGATATATACATATATATATGTATAAGAAGTTTTAGTTATTTGAATCTCAGTAAGTACAGTGCTTGATGCTTAAGAGCAGAGCGTAAATATTGATAAGAAGAAGAAAATACACAAAAAACTACAATTTCATCCCGACAAGCCTGTTTCGTGATTTCTCACTCTTCAGGGGATAATATTTGTATTATAAAAATTACTATAATAAAATTGACAAATTGATTTTTTCTTTTTCATTAAATACATAATTAAATATATTTAAGCTTGAAGATTGGTTATCCAGGCATTTTTATTAAAAAATGAAAGTATCTTACATTTTTTATAAATTATTTATCGAGCTTTGTCCCAGTGTATCAAACCTTCTTCAAATTATGAAGTTGTTAGATATTTAAAGTTGTTTTTATTTAGTAGACGTTTAGAGCATCTGATTGGATTAATTCATGGATTAAGATGACTGGATGGTGTGGAATGTGTTGTTATTGTTTTTGGTGTATTGTGAATACGATTGGTGTTAATATTATTAGTGTGTGTTGTCGTAGTCATGGAGTTGCATGTAGTTCTTTTATCCTTTTTCTTTAATTGTGAATATATGACGGGTATGTCAATGTGTCTGTTTATTGTATTGTTGTCTTTACTGTAGCAAGCTTCTTTAAATTTGCGTTCGTGTTTTGTCTGTGTGCGTCATAGTACTGTAGTTTCTCCTCAGTCAAATAAGAGATTATTTACGTAGGTGTGTTTTGCCGGTAGTGAAATTGAGTTTTCTTGTATTATGTCGTTTATGAAAGAATTTTGTGATGTTTTTCATTTTTCATTAACTGGTTGATCATTGTCCTGTGCTACTTATTCAAAAGAAAATTTGGCAGATGCTTTTATGTTTTTTGCGTACCAAGTATCAATTAAAATTGACTTCCAGCTGTTTTACAATATTAATAAATACTTTTATGCATTAAGACTTCAAAAAGAGATAAAGCTGGGCTGCTAAAAGTTATTAAGCCAAAGAAGTATATTAGAAATATATATATGAAAAAAAACAAAAAAGTATATTTGTTATCTGTACAAGCAAGAAGGTGAAAATGATAAGAGCATGCTAACATGGGTTTTAAAACAAATAAACAAGCATAAACAAAAAGTAATTTTATCTTCGAGAGCTGAAATAAAACATATAAGTCCAATGCATAGAGATCATTTTTAACACTACAAAAATGATCTTGTGCTTTTTTCTCATTGACTTTTATGCGATGATGACATTAATAATGTAGCATGATTAAACGAGATTATTGTAAACACGAGATTATTTTTGTGGCGCTATTTATAAACTTTTTGGCTACCCTGTGCTCAAGTATGCAACTTTGTGTTTTCTAAACATAGTATGCAGTATGGCATTTGAAAGATTTGATACATGAAGTAGTAAATCTGCATCAGCTCTAACTTTTTTGAAATTAGTTTTTGAGCTATAAAAAACAAAAAAGACAAAGTCTTAATATTTAACGATGACATCTTGCTAAAAATGTTTTTATACGCTTAGGTTTAATAAAACTTGCTGATTTTTGAATAAATGAACAAAAATAGTTTTGACAGTTTTTTAATTGAAGAAGAATCGACGAATTAAAATCGTAGCTACGTAGTGAGCTTAATTTTCCCATGCTTATTTTGCTCAATAAGTAATACATATAGAACTGTAAATTATAAAAACTTCCCCTTTTTCAAATCCTACAGTCATAACTTTGTTTTATATTTCTACGTGTAACATCTTTTATAATGTCAATAGCAGTGGTGCCTAAAGATATAAATTGTATCCTTTTTTGGAGGTGGGAGGCAAAACATACATGTATTGCTTATTGTTACTGAATTGGTTAAAGTACATATTCAACAACTTTAATATAAGAAACATATTAAGGTCCCAATGTATGTAGCGTACATTTAAAAAGCTTCTAGCTTTAAATTTTTAAAGCTTTTCTCTCTTCATGCACCAATATTCTCCTTTTGCACCTGTACTCTGCTTAATGGTTGCACCATTATTTCGACAGAGTGTATAAAAAACAGATTTTCAATAGACAATTGTACATTTGACATTATATTTATGTTTTTATTTTAAAACAGAGAATGTTATGTTTCATTATGTTTCTGTTTTTATTTTAAAAAAGAGAATATTGCTCGTTAGCTTTCTATCAATATGTTTTTGATTGCATGACAAGCAGAAATGTTTTTATATGTTCTCCAAAAAACGAAAATGGTAATTTGATAATAAAATTCCATTTTCCAATGGATAAAATAAAGTATATTATTTTTAAGTTTTACCTGATGTATGAAATTTCTTGTTTTTTTGATATCTGATATTGGCTTCTGGAGTGGATACCTTATCTTGCAATATCTTGACCACGTAGATAAAACTGTTTATTTGCATTAATTTTTTGCACAAAGTTAAATATATAAATTCTTAAAAATTTGTAAAACGCCATGCATGTAAGTTGCTTAAACCTATCCTCCTCAATCTTTGTCCTAGCCCTAACACTAACCCTAAACAGAGATTATTGCTTTATAACCCTAAAACGCTAACTAGATCTTACTACGTATTATTGTTGTAAAAACCCAACCCTAACCAGATATTATTTTTTTATTGTTCAAAAAGAAATTGATTTTGAGAGGGAAAATATTGCCATAGAAAAGTGACCAGCATGACTTCTACCTGAGTACCGCGCGTTTAATTCTTTTATACTCCCCATTAATCTATGCGAGCTTCGTTAAGTATATTTTAAATAAATAAAGAAATTTTCTGTATTTTGAAAACACGTGATGCAACGTGCTTGACTTATTCTGATTCCCTACTTATGGGTACAAAATAGTGTAAACTATGGTCGGAATTGTGGTATGTACGAATGGCTTGATTGGAGAGATTATTTAAACGTTGTTGGTTAATAGACGTTTGTAAAACTTTTGTCGACAAGGCTTTTGTATATATTTATATGGAAAATCCATCAGAAAATAGAAAAACATGGTTGTTTTGGAGTCACAAACAAGAGTAGATTTGTAGGAGAAAATATTTGTTTTATATCTGGAAATAAAGAAAAGATTTTTTCGCTGAAAAATGTATTTATTTCACTTAAGAGGAGAAAAAATTTGTGAGATATTGATACAATGTAAAATATGTGAAAAATTCCATCAACTTATTTAACATACAATACTGCAAAAATTTTGTGTTATTAAAAAGATTTCACAAACTGCATAAAAAAATTTAAGTGTTCTAAATTGCAATACTATTAGGAATGCGATCAGGATTAAGCCAAACGTAAGGTGCAATCATGCCTTTGTTCCGTTCGTCGATGCGTTCTGAAATCTTCTCCAGTTTCCTTTTAAACCTCACCATGGCTTCGACTGCCAAATGATCAGTAAACAAACTATTTTCATAATCTCCGAGAAATTTCTAAACAAATGTTGATAAATGATGTAGTGCACATTTTGAGTGGATGAATCAGTTTACTTCTTAGAGTTAAAAAACAATCTTCATTAGAAATTTCAAGCATGCAGTATTCAGGGAAAGAATATAGCCGATCGTTGGAAAAAGAACTTTCAAAAATATCTATCCAATTTTTAAGTGTTTCAAATCATGAATATCAAGCACAATTTTCCTCCGTCAAAGGTTTAAGTATGGCACATAAAATTTCAGAAAATAAATATCTGGGTTGTATGGCACAGGCATATACATAATTTTATGTGTAAGTGATTAAGTGCTTCAAAATACTTTCTGCATGTGTACGAAAGACAAATGTTTACTTTTGATTGATGCAGTTTTTGAGCTCTAAAATGTCAATTCTCAAAAAATATCGTGTGCTCAAGAAATGGATCTAAAGCAGATTTTGAATCCAACATTACACGTTTTAGCATTCACCAAATTTGTTTGTCTTCCTTTACTTATTCGTTTTAATTGATACACTGTCTCAGTAAAGTTGTCCAAATGATCTTCAGTTCAAAACTCTTAGTAATCAATAAAATTTTTCACAATAAAGTTGAATGCGCTCTTAATTAAACAGTACTCGGTTTATATCAAATAACAGACTGTGTCAAAGCTATGTTTTAATAGAAAAAATATCAAGCAATATATTAAAAAGACAAAACAGAAAAAACATAAAACCTAAAAATTTTACAAAAGTTTTGTAAAATTATGACAAATCCTAAGCAATAAATAAGACATTTGTGCATTTTTCGAAAATCGAAATTTACCTCATTTGCTTTGTTTAATATGCACTAGTATTCCTGGCACATTTCTTTAAACTTAGCTACAATGTGACTAAGCCTTTTACCAAGCTTTGTTTCTAAGATATAACTATAAATTTCGTAATTCATTTATAAGGTGCTTACCTCATCTGGAAAAATCGTAGTTAATTTGTTCATAATCGTTACCATATAAGCAGCTTGATGTTTTGTTGCCAAGCTGTCCATGATTTTTTTTAAGTTGGTCACTCCTTTCTGTTTTGGAGGAGGCTGCCTCATTAAGGACGGAGAGTTTGGGTGAAATCCATATGTCTCCATTTGAGAAAAGTTTACTGCTGCATGCTGACAAGAACAGGTAAAAATAATAATTGTTAGAAACCGGATTAAATTATCACGCTTTTCAAAAGACTGTGGAACATTTTTATCCACGTTGTCACTTCCAGCAGGATAACCATTTTCATGAAGATCACGAATCCAATCTTGAATTTCACTGTCCTGTTAAAAACGTTTTCATAAAATATTAGTAAAATGTGTCGTTGTAGCTATTTTTCGTTAAGAGGTTTTTTTCAAGACTTAAAGGAGAAAAAAAGAGTTTTCTTTAGATTAGTACTATAATTAGAAATGAACTGAAAGATTTCATTTTTTACTTCATGTCGACGCAGCGATGTTGTTTGAAGTGCAAACTTCTTCAAAAATTTTATCTTGTATTTATGAAAGGAAAAATTTTCACAATTTCTTAATTGCCAGAAACATTTATCAAATTGTTTTTAAAAGTGATTATATTCTTTAATAAAACAGAAGTTATAAGCGGAGAAATAAACTCGTTCATTTACAGGAGAGAAATATATTCCTACAACCTATGAGAAGTAATTGAAAATGTTAATTTCCTTGATGACTGAGTGTCTTAAGTCTTATTGCAAGTCAATGCAACCTGCCGAAGGCTACATACAATTTTTTGTTTTTAAGAACTTGGGAAAATATAGCTGTGTCTCGTGTCTCATGTTTTCTAAATAACATTTGCATTACTTTACGTAGCTTTGCATGATTTTAAAAATTAGCTCCGTTAGAAAAAATTTGCAAAACAAACCTTCTTAACGTCATAATCGTCCTTGTAATATATGTTTATGATGTCACTAACAAACATTTTAATGGCATTCCACAGGCTCGTGGCATCTTCTCTGTAGTAAAATTTTCGAAGATCCTTCACACCTCTTTTCTCGAAAACTTTTTCCAAATCAAAACTGTCAAAGGTCAAGCTTCTGTAGTATTTTTGCATCAACTTAATATGACCACCACCACCAATACTAAGCACTTTATCTGCAAGACCACCTTCAGAAATCAGTGACTTACGTCCCAGTGTGTTGATTGCCATGATTCCTTTTGTGTGAGGATACAACAATTTCCACACGGGATGAACTGATGGGAGATTTCTCCACGCTGAAACAGCTGGTGCCTCCATCATTAAATGACAACGTAACAAATGAGATATCATCTTAAATTAAAAAGGATTGCCTAACATTAAATCAAGACATTAACGATAGCCTTGTTATAGTAAATAAATAACGGTTGCCTCCTTTGTAATCTTCCACAGTAATAGAGTATCTTCTTTCATGCTACAAGTGCTTTGATTATTTGCCCAATTAATAATTACTGTTTTTCCTGGATAGATTTGCTTACACTTTTAATCAATGAATTATAACAACGTGCCTTCCCAACGAAAAAATTCATAAAATAATATGAATGCTAAATGTTCTTGTTTACCATGATATCACAAAAAGATTGTTTTATCATTATGTACGTAAGGACAGCCTTTGCCAAGGTCCTTCAATCGCTTCAGTGGAAGAAGCTTTTACTTATTGTTTCATAAACAGTCAGACCACTTTGTATCCTGTGCTTAAGTGAACATAACAGGACCTTTAAAAAATAGAACAAAGCTACTCTGCAAGTATTTATCATAAGCTGCTCTGAAGTATTTCGTATTAAAAATGTCTTGTTTTACATCTGTCTTTATTGTATTGTTTTTTGTTGAAGAACATTACGTAACATGACTGTCCTTAACTTTCCTAAGAGTCATACTCCTTAAAGCACACAGAGAAGTGTACCAAGTAGACTGTACATTGCAATGTTAAGCTTTTCATTTTGATTTTTTTTAATTCCTTGTCAGTTAAAAAAAAAGTGATGATGTAATTAAACATTATTAGACTAAGCTACATGCACATCAGCTGGAGAAGCTACAGATGCTTTAAAACATTAGGCATTTGTATAAATTAAGTGAAAAATTAATAGTGATGATAAAACAAATGTTACATACTTGATGATATTGTGTATCAGCACAACGAAGCCACAATTTTGCCATTAACCAATCCCATTGAGTATCTTCTGAGGGATACCATATTGGATTGCTGTTGGAAATCTGTTGATTCAACTGGATAGCAATGGGTACCAAGTCGTCATTCTTTCTAAGATAAAATAAGCCTAATGGTGCTGTCAGGTAGCGCTTTTCACCAGGTTTGTCCATCGTTGGAATATCCTCAAGAATCTTGTAATCAACAATATAGATAAGCCCCTCCTTTATATGAAATAAAATAAAATTTCACGATAATTTAACATTTTTGCAGTTGTTGTGACTTTCCTTAAAACTGTACATAGCACAAATGCAAAACACAATTTCTGAAAAAACATACATGCAAAGCACAACATAAAAAATAGCTCAGCAAATCCAAACTTTTCAAACTTTGTAAAATCATAGCGAGAGAAGTGCCAGGTAGAGATTAATTATCTTTTTAATCATGATATCCCAAAACAAGACTTTTTATTGAACCATTACGAAAAAACATTATAAATAAAATGTCTTTTTTATTTTTGATGTTTCGTCTTTAGCTTAAGATATCTTCAAACATAAAAATGTGTTAACTTAGAAACAAATCGTGATTGAGAAAAAACTTTGTTTCTAATTGATATACACAATGGCAATATTAAAATCTTATGTTATATTTTCGAGTTCAAATTGAAAATTTCCTGAAATCGTGATGTCTGTCACAATTTTTTTAAAAGACTTTAATGATCTGACCAAGAAAAGTGTACATTATTTTTAATGACATATTTGATTATTATATTACAGCACTTATGCAAAAAAATGTAGAAAGCTGTGAAGTAATTAAAACTTTAAAATAATTCGTTAAGCACGGGTGTATCGTTACATGTTTGTAGATGTAGATCGTGCAGGTTACTAGAGTCCTGAGAAAGACTTTTGATGCCGATGTTAACCAACGTTTTAACCACCTTTTAGTTGTAGTCATCTAATGTAGAATCAATGAAGTCTTCAACTAAATGATGATAATACAGAGAGATTTTCAACAACCAACAATTATGTTCTTTGCGTAATTTGCTACGGTAATATGCTTTGAACTTCTTATCGTGCAAAATCAATGACATTTTTACTTTTTACCGTTCTACTAAGCGTTGTACTGGGAAATGTATAAAGAAACCGACAGACAGCTTGATAAATGATCAAAAAATATCTGTTTTTTGCGGATTCTGCAATGATTCAACGTTGTTGAAAAGCTAATTTCATTCTTTTCTCATTTTAACTTTATTTTAGTGAAAAAGACTGATGCAAATATGATAAGTAATAATAAACCCATAAAATCTTAATTGAAAAGAACATGTCACCTTTATGGCTTCCTCCAGTGTATATCCACGATCCAATAATTTCTCAACCTTTCTACTCTCCACAGGAAAGTTTTTAGGAAGCTCATGACATTTTTCTATAACTTCTGGATTAGAGCCGTTTAGAAATTGTGCTCCAAACCAAACGTCATCTTTCCAATGCTCAGCTGCAATAGGAAGACCACTGTCAATTGCAGAAGTTATAATTTCTTTATAGTCTTCTAACGAGTCCCACGCCTCAAAAACTTCAAACAAATATGCAAAGCCCCGAATTTGAAAATCTTCCAAAGCAACGGAGAACAAGGAAAGAGAATCTTTACCAGTGAACCGCACGTCTAAAGGCAAATTTTTTGGACTTTCGTCTTTTACGGCAACAAATCCCGGTAGATCTTTTATATAATCAGGATTATATCCCCAATTGTAAATAATCCTGTTTTTCTGAACCTCTACTTTTCGTTGCTGTTTGAGCACTTCGACATTGTCAGGAGAATTGGGCAAAATGGCTGAAATTCATAAAACATTTTGCAATGAATTAGCTACCTCTGTAGTTAATAAAAGAATAAAAATCGCTACTAAATACAGTATATATTAGTAAATAACAATATACAAATGACGTACAGCAAAATTTTGTGAGCATTATTATACTTAAAAAAAAGATATTTTGGATAGTAACATATATTAAAAATTTTTTCAGATCTGATTGGTTTGGATTCATTGTCAATATCAGAGCAAAAACCAAAAAACAAAGTGAAAAAAAAAAATGAAAGATAATTTTTTGAAAAAAAGTGCTCCTGATTGGTAAGTCAAGCAAATATGTGATCCAAAAGAGCCAATCAAAACACCAAAATTTAAAGGCAGGAATGTTAATTATTGAAAGAAAACAACTACAATCTCACGCGTAAGTTTTAAGTTTAATTTCTTTGGTAAGTGAGTTTACACTTCACTGTTTGAAAGGATTTTCTTAACAAAAATGTAAACATTTCTAAAAATTCATTGTTCTAACATCGTGTTTAGAGCTATGGTGTTCTAAAAAGGAATACCTGGAAGAATTAAAAAAAAGTTTCTTGTGCAATTTGAAAAACAAGGACCGTGAGTTTTTCAAAAACTTCAAATTTTTGCCCTATGTTTACTATTTTTTGCAACATCATTCACGACTAGGAAGTCTTTCTGTAAATATGATAACTATGTTGAGCACACGAGCTAAGGAGCACGCTAAACTCCCTTCAAGCTTTACTTTATCTCAAGGCAAAAATAACTGATAGCTTTTAAGAAACATGTAAATATTTCACAATCTTTAATGAATGGGGAAATTTCGGATAAAAGAAGGCAAGTTCGTCAAAAAAGGAAAGTGTTCATGTTTTCAGAACAATGTTTTTCCCATTGTCCACGATGATTTTGATGAATCAAACAAACAATAAACATTCTGTAACCTGTGCAATAATTTTGATCTATTTAATATGTTATATATCAAAAAAAATAACTGAACGAAAACTAAAGCTCTCGAGTCATGCAAACATTTTGCCGACTGAGAACAATAATCCTTAACATCTCAAAATTTGTAACAGCTTATTTTTTCAGATAAAGGAATGAGTCATTAAAAAATCTTTTACATAACAATTGTAAAGTTTAAAAACACGACATATTTTAAGTTTTTGAAACATAAAACTCAAACAACATATTGTAAAAACATTGCCATGTAGGATGTGTTTTCTATATTTCTTACAATCCACGCACATAACACGCGTGTTATATACCTACAAAAACCACTCTACAGCTTCCATATTGGCTTCATGTTTTTATTTAGCTTTTGTAATGGAGTCTATTAATACAGCTCACTGCCCACAACACAGCAAAAAGCATTTGAATAATTTAAATCTTAATCTTACCAGCTCCTTCATAAACCACAAAATCTTCTTCTATCCATCGATAACAAGGAAAAACATACTTTTCTCTCCGATAACTACATTTTGCTTCTATTGTAATTTTTTCTAAAAACCAATCAGATAGTATCTTCAACCCTCCAAGATGCAAGGAAACCATTACAATTTCACCAACATCTTCTCCGTTTTCTTCATATTCTTCTTCATCGCCTGCTTCGAAATCATTTGCAAGAAGCTTGTCCAACTCAAAATAACGAGTTTCCTTACCATTCCTACCTGTAAAAATCATTGTTAATTTAGTAGTAAGTAGGTAAATTTCTTATTTATAAATTTTTTATTTACCAATAAGTTTGATAGAAACTGTAGAGTCTGTTCCAGCAAAAAGTCGATCACCGGTCTTGACTGTTATTAAGTAATCCATTGTGGTTATCTTGAAATTTATAAAACACTGAGTAAAGAAAAAAGTATATTGGGGTCTTGTTGTGTAAGAGCAAGTTTGTATATAAAGTTGCAATAAAAAGTCGACTCAAATAAATTAACTGCATGTACAATCCTTAGCGTGCACAGGAGAATATTTACAAATAATGTACTTCTGAATTTTAAAATTTAAGAGATCTGACTTGAAAATCAATGACTTGATTTGGTTACTTTATAAATGATAGTGCAGGGTCAAATCACAGGTGGAAAACATATAATCCAACGCATTCATTTTAACGTTAACACATACTTCAAAAAAAAACTATTCAAAAGCGGTATTCTACCAAATTCGATTTCTAGAATTGAAATGTATATAAAAAATTCTTGCCATCATAAAAAAAAAGAGATTTAATGGCAGTGCAATTCCGATCGGCAGAAGGCTAATATTAGAGTAAGTTTTTGAATACAGTCAAAATCTCTTCTGTGGACATATAGCTATTAATCACTTAGTGATGGAAAAAATTGTTGCCGTCGACAAAAATAAAACAATTGGAAAATGAAGACGCTTTCAGAAATCACCAATCTCCTTTTTTGGCATTAAAGCAAGGAAACAATAAAAAAATACTGTCAAATTTTGACGACCCATTAAAGAAAACGTATCACTTTTATATGAATTTTTATTTTTTTGAGGCAAAGAGCATCATGTGTTAACTTATAGTGTGATTTTAATCTCCCGTCAATGTCTGACTTATCCAATCAAAATTGTAGAAGATTTGCAATATAACCTAACTTTGTTATTTCTTTTATTCAATTACGCCAATTTTTAACGTTCTTATACCATCCTATATCAAGTGGTGTCACTTGATTTTTAAGTGCAGCAGAGGAAGGATTCTATAATTTGATCTGTAGAAATCTTTTTAGTAAATATAAACTTCAACTTGATATTTTTCTTTAATCCAGTTTCTTTTTGTTTGTGAGTGTTGCTATAATGCCAGGCAACTGCGGATAACAAAAAGTGAATATGTTTTTTATTGATGTTACTATATAACATCTTGTAGAGAATGAGTTTATTCAGTAATTCATAACTATGGTTTTGGAGGTGTTTTAAGCCCTCCATTTGGCATGGTTTGTAGTAAAAAATTGATTTATAGAGCATGACCATAAATTTTTATGAGCATTAATGGAAAAAAGTAAATCATTTCGCTTGAATTAAAAAAAAACACAGTCACAACGCACGACAAGTACATCTCCTTGATTAGTACTAATGGCAGAGGCTTTGGCAGCTTTCAGGTGTTTTAGGTATTCAATATTTACCATGTCATAATGCAAGAATCTTAGAATAGTAATAAAATTGATTTAATAGTTATTTTCAAACAGTTTTCTTCTTTTTCGAGCTCACTGGATACACATCACATGCACAATTTGTCAATGCTTAAAACACTCAATAAAACACGTTTTGTTTCTTCTATAAGGTACACGTACAGTAAAAAAATTATGGGTGTTAGGACACCCAGATACCCAAGGTTTCCCAGGCCCCGATCAATGGCAAACTCATTTCTTAATTAATAATACGATTTTTTGCAAAATTTTTAATATGAAGCCATCACTCGAGTAAAAATACTGTTTTGAAATAGATATGAGGCAATTCAAAAGTCCTATTCAGAAAGTGTGAATAAGCATTTAGAACAAAAGTGCAAGTTGCATTTAAATGACCACATAAATGAGAATTGTTAAACTAGTGTAGTATGAAGCAATCGCATACATAAAACAGACAATATAGCATAAAGCAAATTCCGAAATAGCAAGACATGTTGAGATTGCAAAATATGCATCAAAACAAGACGAGAAGTGAACTGTAAATTTTTGACTTTATTTCAAGTCCTCCTCAGATAGAATGATAATTAAAACCATACACACATATATATTTACAACTCAGGAATTAAGTAAACTGAAGTAAGAAATAAAAGTTAAATAGTGTGATATTTACAAAAGCAGGGTTGGAAGAGGTGTAATATTTCGAATTGAAACCACAGATCCGACTGGTACAATGAGTGTGTTGTAATTTAAGAGAAGAGTTGTACTTCTTTACTAGCCTTAAGTCCCGTGTTGAGAAATTGTTTGTTGTGTTTGATGAGAAGTGCTTAAGGAAAAGCAAGAATGTGGTAGTTGTTAGATAAGACTGTTGCCAGAAATCCTCTCACTCTAAATTATTTTCCCTTTCTGACTTTTTTCACTTAGAATTTAATATTAATAACATTCTTAAGCATCTGTTTGCTAAAGGCTATTAATTCGTTTTATTCAACTTCAAATCCCTTTTTACCAACGTTCCATTCTCTTGCACAGTCGAAATGATTTTAGACCGCATTTACGATGAACACATAATTTCCACTACTTTAAAAAAACCTACATTGAAAAAACTCATCTTAGATTTCTGCAACAAAACTGCCTTTTCTTTTATTAACACCATTTATACCCAAAAAGGCGGTGTTTCTATGGGTTCCTCACTAGGACCCGTCCTTGCTAATAAAAATGTAACCGAATTTGAAAAATTAATACTTTCCGATCTCCTTAATGATGGCGCAATAAAATTCTACAACCGTTACGTTAATGACACGCTTGTTTTTATCAAACCCTCCAATATTTCCGCTGTCTTATCAAAATTTTATAGTTTTGATTCCAATCTCACATTCACAGTTGATACATTTCACGATGGCATAATTCATTTTCTAGGTATAAAAATTTCGGTTGATGGAACGGACATTTACTTAAAAGACACCCACTCTAGTCAGTACTCACCTTTCTCTAGCTTTAAATCTTTTCATCAAAAAATTGCATGGGTAAAAATCTCTTTACCACAAAGCCTTCAAAATTTGTAGCGATAAAACACTTTTCAACAATCGAATTGAAATAATCAAATCTTACATGTTTTGGAACGGTTATCCTAACAGCGTTAAAAACGTTTTGTTTAAAAAAACTAAAATTCAAATACAATGATTCTTATTCCCATTGACAGCCGCTTTTCAATGGATGATAATAAAACAAGAATCTGGCTCGTATTCCTTATCATGGTATACGTGGCGATTTCCTCTTAAGGTATTGTCTTAACAAAATACAAAAACATCATTCTCAACAGGTGAACTTTGTAACTATTTATGACACTAAAGAACTGTCCTATTTTGTCTCTAATACGGACAAACTTCCTTCACTTTCTCGCAGTAACCTTGTATACGAAATAGCTTGCCCTGGCTGTGGTAAAACCTACATCAACATGACACAAAGATGCCTGTTTGTACGGCTCAGATAACATGCAACCAGGATCTCCTCTAGTGCAGTTGGCCAGCTTTTCTCTGAGTGTGAAAATGCTTAATTCCTGGCAACTCTACAAAACCAGTTCTCACATTTAAATGATCTCCCTCCATCTCCCAGAACTCCCTCTCCTATAGAAGAGGGAGACACTCATTCTACCAGTCTGATCTGAAGTTTTAGTTCATCCTTTTGAAATACTACACCTCTCCTAACTCTGCTTTTGTAAATATCACACTATTTAATTTTTATTCTTTACTTCCGCTTACTTAATTCATGCGTTGTTAATATATGTGTGTATGGTTTTAAATACCATTCTGTTTGAGGATGACTTTGAAATAAAGCCGAAAATTTACAGTTCACTTCTCGTCTTTTTTTGATGCATATTTTGCAATATCAAGATGTCGCTTTTTCGGACTTTGCTTTATACTATTTTCCTTTAAATTGTCAACTGGTCATGGTTTTTGGTGTAAAACAGATGAGATGTTTCCTAAAATTGTCCTTGTTTAGTAAAAACGTGATAGTTCAGTCAAAGCATCATAACGTGCTTATCTGCAAACTTTTCATTTACTATTTTACTTGTTAAACTAAAACTCACGTTTAGTTTCGCCTGAATGGATGACAGGGAATATAGTATACAAGCAAATTTTTGGGCGTTAATGTCTTTAGTTAATATTTCTCAAAATAATAGCATTTTCTTAGGATTATGCCACCGACATATTTGTTCTTACTGCGAAAACTTTCTGCTTAATCTTTTAAAGAAATGTGTTACTACATTCATACTAATGTAAATGCGCTTGGATTCATTGTTATAGTCTTTATGTCAAATAAAAAACAACTCACGATATTTTTCTGACAAAGCGACAAATGAACAAATGGATTTATAACGTTAAAAGCAGTAGATTGAATAAAGTTCAAAATATCTTTAAATGATAATGTAGTTTTAAAATAAATACAATGTTTTATAATTACTTACAGTTTCAAATCTGTATTTTACTTCTGTGGTCAACTTACTTCTTCTGAACACATTAACAAAGTGTTGAGATGATGCTTGCTTGAAGGACACTTGCAAGTATGAAAATTGTCTTAACGATGCTTGGCATTATACTTCTTCTAAATGAAATGTTAATGAGTTACAATTATGACTAATAGCTATATTAAGCACATCTCCTATCTTTTTTTTACGTTTGGAAGATTCTGTTAACAGCAGGTGAAGGAGGTAAAGCGTCAGTGTTCTTGAGTACTCATGCATTTGAGCAAATATACATTAAATTTAGTTGTTGAAAAATTTATAAACGAAGCAAACTGCTTAACTTTCTGTAACTTCAGTTAAAAGTAAGCTAACTTTCAGTGAAAACTTTGTCAATTGCAAACTGGCATAATTAATCAATTTGTGATTATAATTTACTAGGAAAGATTTTAGCATTACTATAACGAACCTCGCCTTGTGTTAAATTGGTTGAAACATTTCAGCTGAAGCTAAAATTGCAAATAGTTTAATTGTAACATTATTTGACAACTCCTATAATACGATTAAATCAATCACAGTTTTTTTCATATATTATTGGCTTTCCAAAATTTTTCACGTTGGATATGTGCTAGGCAATAGCATTCGTTGGGGTAAGCTGCTGGACGTGTCTCCCCTAAGTTGTTCCGAAGACTATATTGAAATTTCAAAAAGTATAAAAGGATATAGGTGAAAGTGTGCATCGAATCTGATTTAAAATATAAAAATAATTGCTTTCTGCAAACGGTCACATAACAAAGTCAATACAGACAGCGTCGTGGTCTATAGTACTGCTTTGAATACATTATGCTTATATCATAATTATCTTTTAAATACGTAATTATTTGTATTTGAGACATATTCGAGATATTTATTCCGTTTGCTAAAATTATTACCTCTTTCTTCTACCTCATAACATTAATGCAATTATATTAACCTTTATAAACGCTTGCTATTTGCATTCATTGAAACAACATTAGTCTTTTTGTAATCATTCGCTCGACAAATAAGCACGATCTATAACGACCTAACTTTTTGTAAATATTATAATCGGTAAACTAAAAAAAATGTATAGAGATACGGAATGGATCGTTTTGTAATCATCTTAGTTTGCAATATTATTTGAAGCAAAGAAAATTTTTTTTTGTGCGTTTATTATTTGCATTGCAACAACTCTTTTCTTTATTTATTGTTTTATATTGATTATCTTTAGGCAGATGATGTTGTATTTCTAGAGAAATCTTATCTATTATTATACCTGACGTTCTATTGCCTTAGAGATCAATATCGACAAAAACCCTACTGTGACTACACATTTCAATTGACACATTTACTTTAATATAACTTTGTGTGGATAGTTCTTGCATCGAGTTAAATTTTTTTTAGTAGGACGTGCAATATATGTAGTAAGGAAGGTTTAAAGATTTATGATGACTTATTATAAAAATTATTCGTCATTCTTTCACATATAAATTTTGCCAACTCTGTTGTAATTCTTGGGTGGTGGGAGGTAAATTATCTTTACCATATGCAGCCAATTACAGTCAAGAAATATCTCTAAGTATATCATTAGTTGTTGTAAAAACAAAGTTAGCAATATTTGTAGCAGGTTGATTTTGGTACAGCATATGTGTTTGAATCTGGCAACTTTTTTTTCAATTGTTGCAATTTTACTTACAAGTTAAATAAAAAAAAGAGAAAAAGCTATATAAGGCTACCACAAGCAAGTGTTGACATCAATCCTTTAAAGATTAAAATACATAAATTCCAATGAGCTATATGAAGTAGATTCCTTAAATATCCATTAAAGTCAAGATATTGTAACACAACCACTGCTTTTTGAAAGTTTGTAATCATTTGTATATTGATTTCTTTCGTAATCTAAATTGGCAATGGAAGTAAATAACGAATTATACAATGACTTAAAGACATTAAACAATTATTTCTGAATGATTTAAATTATAATAAAAATTATAAAAGTCGCGAATGCTTGGAGTTCTTATTAAACTTGACTTGCATAATAAATATAAGAAAAAATGCTCCTACAAGTTTCATATTTGTTGTTTACATTGCAATGTCGTTTCTCTTAGCTACATTTGCATCAATATTCATTAATTTTAAAATTTATTAAGCATCTTGCATGATTTTATAAAAAATGACATCATTAAACAAATGAAAGGTTAAGTACAAAAGAGTCAACATACATAAGATAAATACCACGTATTTTACAATTGTATCACTATATGGCCCCATTAAATTCTATATTTAATAATTTTACTAGCATTTTTTACCATCAAATAATAATTCATCATGTTTTATATACGCATAATATTTACTCACGATTGTTCAAATATGATCAAGATATGTTATCAGAAATATTTGATAAAAAAAAGATAACTATACATCTATTTTTGTCAGCGTGTATAGCCTTTTGCATCTGCAAATATTTAAACACCATTTTACTCGTTAAACTAGTTAAATTACACACTTGTAAGACTATTACGTGGTATTACTCGATTGGCAGTAGACCAGAATGACTTCATGCTGGCAGTTTCCTGCACGTCTAATCTTTGATTTTGTCGTAATTAGCCGATTAAATACGTAGAGCTAAAGTCGTATCTTTGTGAAACCTGTCTGAATGGAATAGCGTCATAGTGAGCAAATAGCTACACTTAAGACTTTTTTAAAAGCGCATGTTTGGTAATCCTATTTAAGTCTCACATCTTTGACAGTTGCGTCGTCCCCACTATTCTAAACAACCTGGCGACCCTACTGGGGCTATTCGTCTATAAAATGCACGAGGAATCTTATTAAGAAGACACCTTAATGCCAATACCAAAAGTAACCTCATTTTCACGGCCTCGTAATATTAATGCAAAAACAATTTTTATCAGTACCAGTTTTATAAACGATTGATAGCTCTAATCATTGATACAATTAGTCTTTTTGTAATTATTCGTGTAAAAATTAAGCACGTTCTATTACGATTTAAATATTTTAGCCAGCAAAGTGCCAAAAATTGGTTTTTAAAGATATAAAATAGATAATCAGAGAACGAGCTTTCAGCATTTACCTTGCTACACGTGTACAATTGTTAAATTGCACACTTGTAAGAATATTGCGTGGTATGACTCAATTGGCAGTAGACCACTGTCTTCCCAGCAAGACTTAATGCAGGCAGTTTCCTGTTCACCCAATCCTTGATTATATCATAGTTACCCTTTTATGTACACATAATTATTCGCGTAAAAATAAGAACGATCTATTACGACTTATATATTTTAGTCAGCCAAGAGCCAAAAAATTGTTTTTTAAGATATAAAATAGATAATCAGAGAATGAGCTTTCAGCATTCACCTTGGTACACGTGTACACTTGTTAAATTGCACACTTGTATAAATAATACGTGGTATGACTCGATTGGCAGTAAACCACTGTATTCCCAGCAAGACTTAATGCAGGCAGACTCCTACACGTTTAATCCTTGATTATATCATAATTACACAATTAAATACACGTAAGTATTCGTGTAAAAATAAGGACGATCTATAAGACTTATATATTTTAGTCAGAAAAGTGCCAAAAATTTGTTTTTAAAGATTTAATACAGATAATCAGAGAGTGAGCTTTCAGCATTCACCTTGGTACACGTGCACAATTGTTAAATTGCACACTTGTAATAATATTGCGTGGTATGCTCGATTGGCAGTAGACGACTGTATTCCCAGCAAGACTTAATGCAGGCAGTTTCCTGTGCGTGTAATCCTTGTTATATAATAATTACCCTTTTATTTACAAGTAATTATTCGTGTAAAAATAAAGACGATCTATTACTAATTATACGTTTTAGTCAGCCAAGTGCCAAAAATTTGTTTTTAAAAATATAAAATAGATAATCAGAGAATGAGCTTTCAGTATTTACCTTGGTACACGTGTACACTTGTTAAGTTGCACACTTGTAAGAATATTGCGTGGTATGACTCAATTGGCAGTAAACCACTGTATTTCCATCAATACTTAATGCAGGCAGTCTCCTGCACGTCTAATGCTTGATTATATCATAATTACCCATTTAAATACGTAATTATTCGTGTAAAAATAAGGACGATCTATAAGACTTATATATTTTAGTCAGCAAAGTGCCAAAAATTTGTTTTTAAAGATATAATACAGAGAATCAGAGAGTGAGCTTTCAGCATTCACCATGGTTGGCAAAATTATTTGAAACAACTCTTTTCTTTATTCACTGATTTATACTGATTATCTCTAGATGTTGTTGTATTTTTAGAGAAATCTTAGCTATTATGATACGCGTCGTTTCATTACCTTATAAAACAATATCGAAAAACAACCTATTGTGGCAACACATCTCAATCAACAATGCCACTTAGACAAAACTTGGTGCAGCTATAACTCCAGTCGACTTTTAGGAGAAATATCTCGAAATATATCGTTAGGTGTTGTAAAACCAAGTTTATCAAGAATTGTAGCGAGTTGATTTGGCTACAGTGAGTTTGAATTTGTTTCAGTTCTGATTTTTGACAATATTTACTTATCACATAAAAAGTAAGGAAGCAGTGTTAGTAGTTTGAAGCTACTGCGGTCAACATCGATGCTATACTCGTTAAAATACATGAATTCCAATAAGCTACAGTAGAATTGTTCAAAACCGGATAACTTCAAGCTTTTGTAACAAATCTACTGTTTTGAGAAAGCTTGTAATCATTTTATGATGAATTTCTGATGGCAATAAAAGTAAAAACGAAGTGAATATTTACTAAAAAACATTATCAATTATTTCAGAATGACTTAAATTATTCATAAACATTATGGTTATCACAGAAGCTTGGAGTTCTATTGACCTTGACTGGCGTCGTAAATAGAAGAAGAAGAATTCTCACTAATAGAAATTTCGTATTTGTTGTTTAAATTACAATGTCGTTTCTCTTACCTACATTTACTCCAATATATATTAATATTAAAATTTATTGATCATATTGCAAATCTTTACAAAAAAAGACATCATTAAGCAAATGAAAGGTTAAGTACAAAAGTGTCAACATACATAAGATAGATGCCACGTATTAC